CCTGACACATAGGACGAGTCATTATCTGCATGCGATTAACCTGCCATTCCAACAACCACTGGATCGTGCTAACTAATATGCTGTTTGACGAATGTTTACAGCGGGAACATGGTGAATATATAAATATATTTAACTCACATTTTGGAATACCTTCTTTGACGACACACTTGCATTTCTTTCGCCCTATCTGAGTGGGAATACAACAGAAAGATCAACAGAAGCAAACGAATTGAGTCATAGGTGACAAGAATTAGTTAACACTGGGAATATGAAATCAATCAATGAAATAGGTGACGCCGATTGCTACAGAAAGTCAGCGGTACTTGTTTTATTTTCGATCTTCTCCTCTTCAATTCACCATTATGTAAACTCCAGGAAAACCAACTGAATAATTCTACGAATTCCAATATAGATATTTTTTGTACATATTAACATCGTTACCGGCTTTTACCAAGGTAGAAAACAAGCGCGTTGGAAAAATACCATTAAAAAATGGTTGATATCACTGTTTCTCCATTCCCTTCCAGAATATCGATTCGCAATTAGGAGATGGTTTGGTTTCAACCGAAGCTCGATAGATGTTAATTTTATTTCGATGAATGTTTGTTATTCAAGAGACCATCTATCATTGTTCGCCAGCTGCAATCTTTTGACTTTTGCTCGCCGCAAAGTTGTCGAAAGTTCGTTTTCCTCGGCTACGAACCCGTCCTTGCGAATTTATCTTTTAATGAAAGATTCTGGGGCCACACACTGCTAACAAAAATTAATTTAGGAGTTTCTAATGAATTCATTACAAGATAGTACGAGTTCAGTTCTCGTTGTTGCCGAGTTTTCTTTGTGCAACACGTGTTACTTCCGGATAGGAAGTTTCGTTGTTTCATAAATTAACTGGAATGAGATTCGGATTGTGGTGGCGTCATATTCGCCATCAATTATTTATTCCATCAAGGAGAATTATTATACATTCTGCTTTCCCATCTAGATTCACAAAACTTTTAGGAATAGACATTCCTTTGACATTATTGCGTCGAAATGTGCAAGTTCTAATTTGTGTGCAGGGCATGAGGGCACTGAAGAAACATACAACATTCAGCTGGTCGTTCCAGAAGCAGTGGGAAATCTGATGACCACCTATAGAAGAAGAAGTATCTGCGTTCATACATGATTGTTGAAAGCTGGTTGTGGAACTTATGATTTCCATCTGCCCCTCAAAGTTGGATATTGATTCGGTATATCGCGGTAATTCAACCCTCCACTCCGGTCGAGTAGTCTGAACTTCCATGTTGAATTTTAGACTTCGCGACTATTGAATATTACACGGCATATATCTGGATATATGAGAAAAGTTCGAGAGGAAATTTGCGAGATTGGTTCAGCACGATACCGAGTACGAGATTATATTGGTCGTGTTAAATAAAGTTGGCGATGATTCCATATTCAGTGACAGAAGTTTGAATGAGTACAATTTGCAATATTCCGATGAAAATACATCGTCGTTATCATAATATCAATGAGTTCACCGATATGGAGTTGGTAGTAGAGCAGTCCTTTTCGTTCTTAGCAACTGTGTAACAACCATCATGAATGTTACCATCAAACGGTGTCATGTTGTAAGTGACAGACACAATTTATGATAATATCAGCTTACAATAAATCCAATCAATGCCGAACCGATATCCATATTTCCACGGTTAAATGGTAAGGTGTTGCAACATTTTCACAAAAAATCGCATAAACGATACAATTTCTCGATGATGTATTATCCGGTCAGGTGCTAATTTCTAAATTGCACCTTAAAAAGTCGACAAACTAGGCCACAATGTTCAGATCGTAAATCGCACAGAGAATTACGCAAGTCTGCATTATTTCACGCCAATAACGGTTGAAGCTAGCCGCGTATTCTCGAGCACTCACTTGCATCTTCTAATTAGACAACATTAAGAGGATTATCCGAGAAGATGGTGTCTGCGAAACATTCGACGAAAGCCACAATACAAGGCCAACTCACTGTTCAGCTGAGGAAATTTTGCACTTTAGGAAACACCCTGTACAAGACAATTTCGTGAATGTGGCCCAAGGGCGAGCAATAAAAACAATGTAGTGCATCTGGGAGCCCCGGGATTGTTATTAGAAATGGTCGGAATTGGTCTGATCTAAACGACAGTGATGTCAGAATAGATTGAGCGGAATAGAGAAGGAATTAATTTAGTTCATAATCTTGTTATTGAGCTGCATGTAGATGAGTTTCTGTTTATGTATTCATACAACGAGTAAATTGTATTGTCGGAGTAGGAAACTGGATGAATATCCATATACGGATTTGGTCTCACAGCAGGAATTTGATTATTATATACAAATGATGGACATTTTGTTCGACTTGTTGAATGTCCTCAAGTTTTATAAATATATGTGCACTGCTGATGTAACTAAATAGAGTACTCTCAAAAAGAGACTATAGCTGAATTGAAACCGAAAGACAGAAGAAGAAAAATAACTCCATTCGACATATAATATGCGATATATCATGGCAGATAACTTTGTTTGTGACGTGGGTATACAAAGTTTCAACTGAAAATGTTTGCAGAAAGCTTTTCTAGATTGGAGGAAAGTTGATTGAAATCAAGAATGAATATACTATGTATACTTTCGTTCTATTCAGACGTTGAATATAACAAGGTCTGAAAACTACATCCAACAACGAACAGAAAACTATGGGACAAATTTATTCTGCATGTGTAGTGGGTATATTTTATAACCATCTATAAATAATACCTATATTGTCAATGATTTATGTATAAAACAATTGAATTGATGATTATTCTTTATATTTGTCGAACGCGAGCTTTGACACACTTCAACGATTTATGAAACACTGTCAAGCGATACAAATATAAAATATTTTCTGCATGTGTTACACACACGCAGACACCCTCACCATGTTGAGAAGAATGAAAATAGAATTTTCATTTATATTGTCTTCAATTTTCAATATTGGCTTGTGTGCGAAATATAAACCAATTTTTAACTCTATCGCAGTTGATGATTTTTCAGTGGCACAACAGGAGCGTGATTGGTGATTGATGTTTCAAAATATATCGACTGCCAACGGAAGTACATTAATGGAGGAAGTACGGTGCAGGACTGTGACGCCATAAAAATATCAATACTCCTATAACTTGAAGATTTCATGTTATGGAATAAAATAATTTTGACAAGATCATCAGCGAGATCATCAGCATTCAAAACGGTCACATTTTCCGAGTAGAAAGTTATACTATCGTTCCCTATGTTTTTCGGGGTGCTGAATCCGAATCTGGAATTATCCAACGAAATAACCCGGTTCATTTCGAGATATTCGCGAAAAAAATGCGAAATTTCCTCATTTTTTGATATTTTACAAATTATGAGTCGACCATTCGATCACGCGCGTCGTTGAAGTTTGAATTGAAGCTAAAAAGAATTGCTAAACCTTCAAGGCTGACGATTTTCCTCGTAGGAATAGTATTTTCCCCCGATATTTAGCTCAAAACTTGATCCAAAACATGAAATATAATTTTTGGAGTGGATCTTCTGACAGTGCTGCAGTAACATTCAATTGGAGGTAAAACAATTTAGTTTACTCTGGAAAATATTATAATACACTGTGTCCAAGATAATGATGTATATCATGGGGATCTTTTCTGAGGTTATACAAAGATATATAGAGAAGAAAAGACACTTTCCCAATGCCACTTTACAAGTCCTATCATGAACTCTACTCCATTATAGACATCCTTATGTCAAAACGCACCATCAGGAAATCTCTTTGGATAACTCCAGATCCAGATTCAACTCCTCAAAAAACATATAGGGTACGATAACAAAACCGACTACTGAATTTTTTGCGTTGGGAGGGCGGATTTTGATAACGTTTGCGTGAGGTATTGTGCCTGTTGCAAGCCATTTTTTTTTTCGTGCACCAGCTCGTAGGTCAAGTTATTTCCATCGACCTTCTTCAGACGCATACTGCATATCATTATTATCGCATTGCATACGGCCTCCGCGTTTCATGCGATAACGGCACAATTATTTCTTTTCATTTTTCACCTTCACTCTTTATGTGTCGTCTCATCCTACTCGCGGGGGTTTATGAACGCAGAAAAGGCGGATCTAAATATATTACATGATCGTACCGATCGAGTCGGCTGGGCAAGATCAAGTTTAACAAACGACGATTTATCTTTTCGCGAGACGCGATCCGCCTACGCTACAGCGATCGCGAACCATTAAAAAGCCGAGTAAAAATCGCTCCATGAATGGAACGGCTGGAAAAAATACTCTGTAGGAGCGTCTCGACCGAGCGACTTCTTCTTTTTTTTTTTTTTTCGTTTTTGTTGCGGAAAAACAATGTATCGCAATGAACAGACGATTGGCTAGTGAAGTGATTGAACATGGCTGGAAACCATAAAATTTGCATAACATCTAGAACTAGACGTCATCAGTAACAGTATAAGAAGTTGAATAAGTTGGCAGAACTTCCAAGAAAAAATCATCAGTTCTTTTGAAGTTTATATGTTTGGCCTTTATTGACAATTTGCTCAGTAGAATATATTCACGAAATGTAATTATAGGTGATTCGAAAACGAAAGAAATGATATTGTCTAACTCTTTTCTTGATTCTGGTGGTGGTTCTGTTGGCTTAACGTTATGCTAGTAGAACCAAATTTCAAATAAGGATATTGAGTATCCCATAATCTAAGGCCCTTATTTGAGCTATACACCGATTTTTTTGTTATTCATTTTTTTATCCAAAAATTCAACATGATTATGACAAACCACTGGTGAATCAATCAAAAGTTCAATGACAAAACTGATTTTATCATAATTGACGACTTCAGCGATAGCGAACCATTGAAAAGCCGAGTAAAAATCGCTCCATGAATGGAACGGCTGGAAAAAATACTCTGTAGGAGCGTCTCGACCGAGCGACTTCTTTTTTTTTTTTTTTGTTCGTTTTTGTTGTGGAAAAACAATGAACCGCAATGAACAGACGATTGGCTAGTGAAGTAATCGGACATAGCTGGAAACCATAAAATTTGGATAACATCTAGAACTAGAAGTCATCAGTAAGATGTTGAAACAAGTTGGCGAAATTTTCATGAAAGAATCATCAGTTCGATTAAACTTTACATAATTCAACCAGCAGTTTGGCCTCGAGTTTGGCCCTGTCATTTTGGCCTTCAATGAAATGTTGCTCAGTAGCATACATTTACGAAAAAAACCTGCCCACTACGTACAACTTGAAACAGTTTTTCGGATTTTTTTCAATTTTCAAAAAGTGGAATTTTTGGCTGAAAAAATATTATGCTCAAATACTTGACCTCCGGACTGATAAGCAGAATAACCGAGAAAATAACTCGATATCTCGGTGGGAGGAATTCGAAATCGATAGAAATGCGTAGAAATTATATTCTCCATCTCTTTTCTTGGTTCTAGTGATGGTTCTGATTCAAAAAAAGCATCATTGAAAAATTTGGCAATAGGCTAGGATTGAAACCTTGAATTATAACTTCAAAATACCACGCGTCTGAACTGCCATCTAGAAAAAACTTTCATTTCACGAATCTGTAAATTAGTGCTAATTTACAATTGCAACTGTAAATAAGGAAAATGAAACTTTTAGTTTCCTTCGCATCTCCTAATTGCAGTTGCTTAGGTTTGTAGAAAACAGTTTTATTAACCTAATTCACATTTACAACTGAAAATTGGGCAGATAATTTCATTCATGTGTATAAAATCTCATGAGGCACTGTGATTTTGTCATGATGAAAGCGAAAAAAACTTTGCCCTATAAGTTTTACAGCGATAGAACAAAAACTTACAAATGAAACCACGACAACCAAAATTGTGAACGAATCTGATGGCGTTTATTTCAATCAGTCTCAATTTTTGTTGTTGTCAGAAAAGTATATCTCATCTGTGGAAATGTCGCGATTTGAAGAGTCTTCGAGTGGAGACATTGAAAAATCCATTAACAATAATGTATGATTATTTCCAAAATTAGGTATATTGACGCTAACAGCATTATATATTTTCGAAGCATGTGTATACATTCATCAGAATAGAAATACCTACACCCGTGATGAAAATATACCTAATGAATTATGATACGATGATTGAAAATGATATACATACTCAATCAGTCAGATTAACGTTGAGTTATCAATCGGCTATTTATTAATCTTCCAGATCGCACCAAAAGCTGTAATAATACTATATCTTTCAAAAAATCATTGAAACAGTTTCTTCTGGAGGGATGTCATTATTCGATATCTGAATATCTTAGCGAATAGAATGAGTGTTGATGTCAACTATGTTTGTTTGTTTTTATCGTATTTTATTATGTACATGACAACTTTCAATGCAAATTATTATTTGTCAATGAAGGAAGCATTATGATAAATAAAAAAAATTATTAATGCATTCATTAAATTGATACAAGTTTTAGTGACATTTTGTTTGAAGAAATCACAAAAAATATGAAAAATCAATTCCGCAAACTACAAGAAACACGAAATCATCAATAATTCATCTCGAAAAACTGACATTCGACAAAATTGTTCGACCTACGGTCTCGCAATTACTTCATGTCAGTTTTTTTCGCAAAATAACTGATTGGCAAATTTTTTTCGTTAGCGAGAGAAAATTATCCGGATGAAAAAGAAACAGCTCTTGTGCTTTAACTGTTGAAAAAATAAAGCACTAGAGTAATTATAAGTGAAAACACTTTTTTCATAACATCCCCTGATTTCGTGTAGGAAAAAAAGTTTCATCAGATTAGGCAAAACATTCGTGGAACAAAGTATCTCTATGATGGCAGTTCAGAAGCGTCATAATACCGAATCGGTTTCGTGATTGAACTTTTATTTACGAAGTATGGTTCTGCTTGTGTTAAGCTAGCTCTAGTTAAGCCTCCAATAATGTTCAATGAAAAAATCGAAAAATTAAAAATGCAAAGTGGTCCATAAAGGTACAAAATCTAAAACAATTCCACCCACTAACCTTAATACTATCGTAGCACGCCGTGACACGACCGTTTTGCACCTCGACGTTGGCCGGGGGATGGGCGAACTTGCACTCAGTGTCCGGTCTGGAGCACTTGTTCCTCTGGAACTCTCTGCACACCTCCAGCTGCAGCCATCTGGAATCCTTGCCGTTCAACAGGTTGTTCATATTGACCATGGCCATCGTCGATCAGGAGCGTCGACTCTTGAAAACGTCGAGAATGTAGGTGGCTGTGGTCGCGACTGGGCGGACGAAACGCGCGAGAAAACGTTCGATAGGCTTCAGATCAGGTAGAATTATTGTCCATGTCTAGGTAAGGTAGCTATGCACTTGCGTTCACCGTATAAAAAATAGACGATACTCCGTAGGAAGTCGTGTGGTTGTTGCTTTTGATGCACAAGCGGGTAGGCGAAAGCGAAGCGATTGTCGAATGGGTTTCTTTTTTCTTGCGAAAGAGTCTAGCGCATGGTCTTCTGGCTACTGATGGTGATGCTGCGTTGACCGGTAGTAGTCGGTTATCTGGAAGCAAAAGCGACAATTAGAATTCGAGATTGGTCAGCACCCTTCTCGGGTGAGAGCGGTGTTGTCAGATCTGATAGCAGATCGTATTAGAGGGGGAAACGATGCATACACCGATTACGATGATGATTTTTATATAATCCGTATCATTATTTGGAATACGAGTTTTCGATTACACAAAATATGAAGTATCTGATGAAATTATTATGGAAAGTACCGTAATCCAATTTGGAGGTTTCTGTGAAGTTATATTTTAACATAAGAAGAAGAAAAAGCTCATTATTACAGTATTGAAAACATAATTCTATAAACTAAAAATCGATTACAGATGTCACGTGATCACTAGTTGAGAAGAAAATACAATTGAGAGGCAGAAAGTAGATATATTTATGGCAAAATATCGAAAAAACCACTTGACAGAGTTGCTCAAAAGTATCGAATAAGTTCAGATCTATTATATATATTTATAAATTAATATCTTTTTCTTTTGAACAGCTTGGCTGTAATGGATCAATTATTGTATTTCGATGATAATGATAACATTGTAAATGTTTCCACACCATCAGATATCCCTAAAATAATGAAAAATGAAAATTGAAGATGACGATTCAAAAATATAGTTTTTTATCCAAATTTTACTGAAGGACTTATTCATTGTAACTTGGTGGAAAGTGTGGAAAAACTTTCCAAGCAACAATTTCAAACAACTGCGAGATTGAAAACTCACATTCTGCTGTTTTTTTGTTCGAAAATTTTGCTCGTTGAATTTTTTTCGACAAAATAGAAAGCTTATGTTATTAATTCATGTATAATTATTACAAAGCGGTTCCAGTTGTAGCATTTCATAGCAAAATGATTCAACTTCAATAATTTTCATCACGAAAATCATTTCTGTTAAGTGTGATAACTGGATTTTCGAATCAGATTATTCTCTAACAAAAAAGTAGACCTTCGAAAACAAAAGAATGAAATGATATTAAAATTGAAATTACAAAGTGTTTATCAGTTTCTCTGACAGAATGAAAGAAAAAACCATCAACTAGTAGATGAATCAGTATGATGACTGCTATCGAATATTTATGACATAATTTTCGAACATTTATGATCACAAAAATTCTCAAATTTTTGTATCTGGTGAGTGCATTATGAGAAGTAATGCATTCACTGGTCTTTTCGTATTTCCATCTGAATGAATCAACCAATATTCAGAAGTTTTGGGAAATTACCAAACTTCTTGAAATTTTACTACAGCTGATAAAAAAATCGTCAAATCAAAAACTGTTCCAATATCTCATGAATTAGTGCACACTAAGTGAATAATAAAAAAAATACAATATGACACTTTTCAAATTTATAATAAATTGGAAGATTTGCTGTGTTTCGAATTCGAAGCAACCGACTAGAAATTCCCTTCCGAACCGAACACGTTGGCAACACGGCAACCCCCGTCCATTGGTCAAGAATTGTGGAAGGGTTGAGAAGACTGCTCGTCGACAGCAGATGCAAGATGCAAGTCTGGACCGGTCAAGATAACCCTTTCTGATGAGATAGGCACCAAGAAATAAAAGCGAAGCTAAGGTCATTTGAATTTCAAATTACGAATCTATTTGTCTACTCGATTCCGATTCTATAGAAATCCAGCTGACTATACGAAAATAAGTATAATAGTCTCAAGTTATGCAAGTGGGAACACCTTTAGTCTGAGAAATTTCGAGCTTGCGAAGGAAGCTATAGTATTGAAGCCAAAGGCAAAACATGTTATTCATTTATATGTTTCTAGATATAAGTTTTTTGACAAGATCAAAATGATATTTCTTGTTTCACTTTTTGTCATGTTGTATCATAGGATTCAATATTTCAAAAATGCATGTAAATACAAGGTGTTTTTGAAATAAGTGCACATATTCAGCACAATTATAAATTACAGTCTAAGGAATATTCCCATGATATCAGATTTTTCCTAATTCTTCTAATTATCGAGTAATTTCATCCCAAAAATTGAACAAAATACGAATGATTGAACTCCGCGTGATTATGCCTACCCACATGGAAATTTGAACTGAGTTGACGTCAGATTTGCTACAGTGTAGAATTAGAAATTAGAAAAAGGGGTCTAGCCTCTAATTTTATTTTGATTCAAAATTTTTTCATCAGTGCCATTTGATAGTCCACGTCGAGCTTTCTCAGTGTTTGAAATATTTCCACTCGTATTTGCACTTATTTCCATGCCACCCTGTATGGTCACAAATCATTCTTTAACCAGGTATTCATAAACACTCAGTTTATATAATATTGACACATGAAGAATTTTCCTTTCGATTACACGTTATCCAAATAATTTCCAGTGACGACACTGCCTTCATACAATCAATAAAATAGATATTTATATCGTTTTATTGCGCTGTTATTTTTAGAATACGAATCAACTTCACTTCAGCATATCAAACGAAAACGCTGGCTATTCTTGTAACATATCTCTAAGCTTCAATATGCATCTAATTTCCTAACATAGATGCAAATGAAAATAGAGATATTCAAGAATAGTAATAGAATAATAAATAAGGATAATGGACCTATCCCATTCAGCCCTTTGTATAGTTTAGTGATATAAGACCAAGGTTAACATGTGAACTCAACCATGACTAACATTAAATTGGCGGTTAGTTATTCAACCGATGAATTCCTCAATTATAAATTTTAAAATGTTTTTATTGTTTGTGATCTTGTGTTACCTATATAATGTTCCCACTTTATTCCTTTCTTCAATTTTTTTTTTACATACTATCTACAAAAGTGAACGTTTCATATGTGTTATATATTGTATTTTGTATTGATACCTATATAAATTTTTTTGACATATCCTATATCATTGTAAAGTGATCTATTTGGGATGAATAAAATATTGTATTGTATTGTATTGTAGTGTTTTCACGGAGGGTGGACATATTATATACCCGATCATATACCTAGTATATAAGTAGCACACTATAGGATAGAACATTCAGTTTTAATCTTCTCCTGAAGATGCTAACATAGTAAGCGAAACACGTGCCGAGGCGTGAAATAATCGGGTTGCTTACTAGTAAAACAGTGTGTAGTGTATTATCGTGCCAAAGGTATAAAATATAACAAGGAGATAAGATTTCCATTTATTTCCTCGAAAACGGTTCTACAAATTTTTCCGTCATATTCGAATGCATGTACAGTCATCTTCAGAAAACATGTCGCACATGGACGATGCTATTATTCTCAATAACTACTGCTATAAGAGCGCTGACACCGTCCAACCGCGACATGATCTCTGAAGACGACTGTACATCAGCAATGTCTCATAAATTAGACAAACGTGTAGTGTAAAACCAATAGCGACATATAGAAAAATAGATTTTTATTGCCTAACTACAGACCACAAACATTAACGATGCATATAAAATAATGCAAGATATGTTTTCCAACATGAAAGGGATTTACTCATTCTATTTTTAAAAAATCTACCAATCTCTACTTTGCATCAGAGGTTATGACGATTCCTCAAGCGAAAATCACATCGAAACTTGTTGCAAATCCACTTCCATTCTTGACTGAAAATAATATATTCAACATGCACATACAAAATTACCAGCAGGTGTCGTATCCAATATTAAAACATTGATTTCGAACATACACCAGACACCTACAACAATAAACCATGACAAATATGGCGCATGGCCTAAATTGAACAATTACAATTACATTCGGTTACGCAACTTCTTTCTGCCCACACTAAGCATTGCTCAGAATTAAGCTTTGAATAAAATTGAACTGTCACACCGAGAACACGAAACATTTTTGAACGACAGCAATGATTAGATGAATCACACTTGGAAATTTGTATCAACACTTACTAGTCCTACATAATTCAGTCAGAATTGGTGCTGCCCACAAAGATTCACGACATTTTGGAAGTTGTACATGCGAGCAAACTGTCAACAGACAGATTAACAAACAAAAGAGAGATTATGCCAAAATGGTCAAAGTCAATCAGATGTGAAATGTAGGTCATCAATCAATTACAATATTACAAACGATCGGATTGGTCATGAATCAGTTTGAATATTTTATAGAAAATGATGATTGTGGTAATGGTGTGATCATACATTTTCCCCATTCTTCCAGTCACATATGAACGACCAAGAATCACGACAAAATATTGAGTTGTGGCACCAACATACAAGGTAATAAGAGTGCTGCCAAATTTTCCCATGGTCAGCAAACCAACAATTAATCCTGCCCTCATCATTATTCCACTATACATACTAGGTGAATAGTGGATTAACAATCATACGACTTAGTTTGTGTTTAGGATATTCCATGTAATGCACTGGATGATGAACCTGGAGATCACCTATCTGAAGAAACTTTATTTCCAACTGCCCGCTCTATTACTATGTCGCATAAGATTTTACTAACACATTTACTGTCACTGAATATGGACGTTCATGTCCTTTTGTCCTAGGTTATCTAGCTAACTAGCGCATGGACACAATCTGGTCTTTTCTTATAGAAAAAAATGTACCAACCGTCATAAAATATAGCGATTTGACGTTTATAAAACCGCTCAGAACGGTTTTAGCTCCTGGATAATCGGCTTAGGGCTGATATTTTCATGACTGGATATCTTTCAGAAAAGCAATGATAGTGAATACACACGTGGTATAAGATACAGTACCAATCGGAAATAACTAACTAAAAAAAAAATGACTTCACTCCTGTAACTGAAATAATCAGAATTCGAAATGAATCGAGTTTTCACGAAGCAACAACAACCACACTTGCAGAGAAAAATTAGTGTGATTTTAAAAGAAACACAGTGAAATGTTCTGAGGAGTCTATAGGTGCATACAGGATATATTCCGAATTCAACTGACAGTACTGAGTCAGCTGATTTTCCATTCCGAAATCAAAAAGTTCACTGAAAGTGACAGATTATTGTGAGCAGACATAATATGCATCCCAAATAT